TATTATTATTATTATTATTATTATTATTATTATTATTATTATTATTGTTATTATTATTATTATATTCGTATTCGTATTCGTGTCTCACCTATGAAGTCTATGATGACGATGGGATCGTCACTGTACTTTTTGTTCTTCCTGCTGTTGTAATCCGGATCCGACAGGACGAAGGCGGCTACGTACGGGGTGAATATGGCGGTATACAATACGAGCAACAGTATCACCCAGTCCCAGACCGCTTTGAAGGGTGAATAGTGTAGTATGGTCCACTTGCCGATTCTAGGTGACTGTAATTTGTACTCTGGGAGGATATCGTTTCCAAGGGACAGCACCTGGAGCACACGTTATCACACATCTTGGGAAAGGATAGATTCGTCGTTCATCCCTCCGTCAATTTTCTTTAACCACAAAAAGAAAAATGATGAAACGATTGGCTAGATTCTAACTATCTTCTTAACTTTCAATTTTTTCAGTTTTTGTTTCTTCCCTCACCCTCATTTTTCTCAAACCATTCTTGCTTGTAAGAAAAACATCAAAGAAGAGAATTTTAATTGTTTCGAGATAAAAAAGTTTGATATTTGCTTCTTTTTTTTCGTTCGATCGTCTCTTTTCTTCTTTTTTTTTTTTTTTTTTTTTTGCCAACAGTCAAGAATAGAGATTTCCATTATCCTGTTCCGAGATCGATATCTCGATTTCTCACTTGACTCACCGACTCTCCGATCTCGTGCACGCCAATTTATTTTCGCGGTGAAAATAAATCCGGAGCAACGAGCAGCACAAGAGTACAAGATTCTTAATCTAAAAATCGATTGATAAAAATTTTCGATAATCGAGAATAACGTGGCAACGTTATCGCCACGTTTATCGAAGGTGTGGAGAGAGAGAAAAAAAAAATATACATATATATATATATATTCCCCCCGTTCCGTGTTCGTTTTAATACAGCGTTATTTCCCACCCTGTCCGAGGGAACAATATCTGAAACACCTTTGTTTCTGTCTGCATTTTCAACTTCCTCTCCTTTCTGTCGAATACCAACACGCCGAGAAACGCGAAAAATACGACACCCACGCGAGCTCTTTTCACCATACGCCTTTGCGCCGTACCGTATTTTATTCAACAGCGGAGAGAAAGATTTGTTTCCATTCCCCGCCCCCACCAACCGTTTAAACCTTCTTCGTCCGGCGTGGGAAAAATCCATCGTGGGAAAAATCCATTCTCCAGTCTATTTTCAATTTTTCTATCCTTTCTTTTTCCTTTCTTTTTCAATTCGTACAAAATTTCATTTAATTAATTATTATTAGAGGGAGGGAGAAAAAAAAATTCCACTTCGAAGAATAAAAACTAGATCTTTATCATCCAACAGAATTGGGTAGGAAAACAATCGTCAAGATTGTTGTCGTTTCATCGAGATGCTGGGAAGCTGAGCTTAAAGAGCTTCGAAACGAAATTATCTATTTCTCTCGTAAAAAAAAAAAAGAAGGAAACAAAGAAAACCACGATCCAATTAGAAAGAGAAAAAAGCCTGGCGAGCAAAAGGGGACGGAAGAGTGAGAAAAATTACGCGAGACGCGTAGAGTAAGGAAGACAAGCTAACCTGCCTGGCACAGTAGCGTTTCGACTTGCTAATTGGACTCTCTGCCATTTAAACCGGCCTTTATGGAGGTACTACGACGAAACGAGCGCGGCCACCGATCGACCATAAGTAAACACTTGACACGCACTATGCTTCCAACTCGACGACACACTCGCACACACACGCGCGCGCGCGCGTACACATACACACACCGGATGAAAAACACGTGCACTTTATTCACCGTTTCGTACACACCGCTGTAAACGAATTCACTCGCGCGATTCCAGATCCACGTTGTAACGTATCCACCACCTTGCCTCCTCTCTCGTGGCAACGTACACGCGACAATGCACGCGATATCCTCCTCGAAAAGCAGGAAGAAAGAAGAAAAAGAAGAAAGAAAATCTGGAGGGGAAGGAGGAGAAGGAGGAGGAGGAAGGAAAAGAAAGGATTACTCTCTCCTCTCCCTATGTCCTCTCCCGAGGATGCTACGTATCACGCCCTACTCGCGCTCGACTATCGTCTCGTTTTCTATCCTCGCCGTAACCATCACGCGTTTTATCGAGCGCGAAACGAGGCGAGCCGAGTCGGAGGAAAAAGCGGCGGCGGCAAAACGACTGTCGATCCGAGTGAAAGCCCCCTCGTCAGAGGCTGGAAGGAGGAACCGGGGGAGAGGGAGGGGGAGGGGTATCGATCCGATGGACGGAACGTTGTCCCAAATAGGGGGGAAAAATATCGGTTGTTTACAACGCGGAGAGAGGAAGAACCGGAAGAGTCCTAGCCGAGTGCTAGCCTCACACTGATGCAATGCGGACCGCGAAGGGTGGCGGCGTTCGATTGGCGAAGGGGAGGACGGCGTGGAGCGACGTGGAGAGAAAGAGAGAGAAATAGAGAGAGCGAGCCCGAGCGTGTAGCGCGCGCGTGTGTATATGTATGTGTGCGCGCACGTACGTAAGTGAGAGGCTGGTGTATACGCGAGAGAGCGCGCACGTGTATGTGTGGGTTAGGCAACCCCCTACACGTCGTCACACCCTACACGCGTTTCGAAGTGATCCAACCTTAGAAGCGGTTAGCCGTGTTACCTCGATAGGG